CTATTCATGGCCAGTTTCCACATCGTTGTCAAGTAGGTGTCAGTGATCATTTGACGACCCACATGTGGATGCCATCGGACTCAGACTCCACAATTGCTGACCATTAAATCGCCTCATAATGGGCCCAATTATTTGTCAGTTCCATTAATTGCTGGAGCTGACGCAGCGATTACAACAAAAGAAAAAACTGCATTTCCCAACAAATCAATTGAAACTTGCGCTCGCTCCACTCGCTTTTGCTTTTCAATTGGCTTTTCGGGTTGGGTCCTCCTCCTCCCCCGGGCTTTTCCTTTTGCCCGGTTTCCGTTTCGTGTCTAGCGGCTACCAATCATGCAAAAAGCCAGCCCCCTTCTACGGAAAACCAACACATAAACAATTGAAACTGATTAAATTCATTTGATAACAAGGCGCTGCCGAGTCTGGGGAACGCCACTTGAGATATGCGAGCCGGTCGCTTGGGGGTGCCATATGCAACTACTGGCCTATCCTCATTATCATATGAATGTGTGTGTGCGTGCTAAAACTCATTCGTTGCCGAATGGGAATGTGAAATATGTCCCGAATGTGAATAAATAAAAGTTAAGTTGCTGTCAACGAGCTCAAACTAAGAAAAATGCTGCATTGCAGCTGAAAATATTTCTAATATATAAAAAATTTTTAGCAATAAGACTGCAATGTGAATATGGAAAAGTGTAACAACTTTATTTACATTTTCCATACAATATATATAATATATATATATGGCACGTAAATAAGTATATACAAAGAAATGAAAAATAACAGCTGATGAGAGGCTGCATATTTTAACTTCCAAGATTTAATTACAAATTAATATATGAAATATTCAATTTAAAAAGTGTTAACAATAACAAGGATAATTCCAACAGAAGTCATATTTGATAAAAAGAACATAGCTGATGTTTTCTAATAAAAATTGTAATAAATGGGCGGAATAGTCTTAAGTCAAGAGTTACTTCTTTTAAAACATAGATTGAAAGGATAAAAATATCTCTATTAATTTTCGTACACCCATTTTTAGTTAACACCAATAAATTAGAGTAATTGCAATTTTAATTGCTTGGAATCTTCCAAATCATCAATATGACTTATCCAGTTTTATTGTACGTATTTTTATGTATCTAAATCGGTCTTTGTTAGCATGTTGTTGTTCATGCATCCGTGTGGCACTTATTGTCTACTTGTTGTGTTTGTCACATGCCGCAACACCAACACCAACAACAACAACAGCAACAACATCCAGCAAGCATTTAGCGATTTAATTAAGCGCAAGTGGGCGTCGAATGTTGTCACCGATGCATAGCTTATATGCATGTCTATTTGGGTCTATATATACTATGATAAGTGGGCGTGGCCGGCAATCCATGCAGCGCAAACTGTTTACGCAACGAAGGGCCAATGACTTGCAGTAGCTAAAGAGTAGCAGCAGCAGCAGCAGCAGGATGCCAGCAGGAGGAGCAACTCCTAGCTGGATGTAGGTGGTTTTTGTCAGTGATGTTGCAAGCAGTGCTGACGTTGACACGTGTGGCAACCATGGATAAGTGGCAGCCACACACACACACACACATACTGAAGTGACGGACAACCCTCGAACCACCCTCGTAATTAAGCGCATTGAAATGCAACTGAGATTCCGCTTCATGTTGCCATCGCCAACTCTACTGCAGCGTCATCCTGTCTTTTGCTCTATCCATTTCTCTCTCTTTATAGCTGCATCTCTGCGCGTCTGCTTCTCTCATTCATTTGCCAATTACGCACTGTGCAACAACCAGCCCGCCAGACAGTCAGACAGTCAGACATGGTAACGACATGCCGTCGAGTTGTTTATACTGTCGTCATCCCAGCAGCAGCAGCAGCAGGAACATGCGCGCCGCGCTTTGCATGCGAGCCGGCGCCTGCTTCTGGCTCCGATTTCAGCTGCCACACTGCCTCATCCCCCCCTCATCATCACCCATACCCTTTGCTCCAGCCCCCTGCCCTGTATTTATTAATTATTTTGTGCAGAGTCGTCTCGGCCAAAAATTCGGCACGCACGTTGCGCATTTCTCGCCAAGATTTGGCTGCAATTGGCTTAAAGGGCTTTTCTATTCTTACTTCTGCTGCTGCCTCGGTTGCTGCTGCTGCCTCGGCTGCTGCTGCTGTTGTTGTTGTTGTTGTTGTCGCATTTCACTAATTGAGTTCACATTACTTGGCAAAATAAATGCGCTTGTGTATTTTTAGCCAAATGTTCCCGTTTTATTAGCTAAACGTGAGTTGGCAACATTTAGCAAAAATCTTTGGCTAGCTAAAAGGCTTCTGCTGCGAATGTCAATCGCTCAAATGTGCCTTGAGTTGGGTCATAGTTGGGCTCAGATGGGTTCAGATTAGCAGCGTTGATACACTTTGAGTCTGACTTGCATTATTTGCAATGACATAGGATATGATCAGCAGTCGGCACTCTGCATGGACATAGAATAATATGCTATGGGGCTCTATGAAGCGGGAAGAGGTTGTTAATAGTTCGATTTTTATATTCATTTTACTCATTGGTCCATTTAAGCTCCAGCAAACAAATTATTTCTTTGATTTATTATAAATTAAAACAATATAAAGCACGCTTTATGAAATTAATCATATTATTTTACTTTATATATTTAATCATGCAGTGCTCCAACAAGTTGTCTTTGCGACTGAATCATTTGGCACGACATGTTGAACTGGTCTTAGCCATAGTCTCAAAATTAATAATGAGAATAATCTATGCTAATAAAAACAAATAATAACAAATAATGCTAATAAACAAATAATAGACCGTGACCATGCTGTGTTCTGCGGTCTACTGACTCTTCTTTGTATCAGACTTCTGAGTTAGATGTTGTTCTAGATTCAATGATTGAATATTTGCCAAACTTTGTTTTGCTTAAGTCGATATTATAGCCCTTATGTCCTGTTCTTTTCTTGCTGATCATCAACTACTTTAATTGAACTCTGTCCTGTGGCATTAACTCATGCTCTGCTGCAGCGGTTCCTCATTTATGCTGCAAGTCCATTAAAGATTCTCCGAGTCGCTTGTTCCGCTAACGAGCTGGGGCAGCAGTGCGTCAGTCCCTGACATGGTTTATATACATGTTGTGCATATCTGTGTGTGCAGCCAGCCTTTGGCCAGAGCGCTCTTTAGCCCAGTTCATCCATACTGGCCCCCGCCCACTACCCCCCCCAACGACCACAAGTGTAACCTAACGAGCAGCAAATGACGGGGCTGCAGCAAAGTTGTCGTTCTTTTTTTTTTGTGTAGTCTGACAATTTAATTGATGTACACGCATGCACACAAAGACAGGTCAAACACACATACACACTCGGGTTGGAGTCAAGCTTTTGAACAAACCGCTAAAAAATGACACCTACTACTACACACAGAAAGAGAGAAAGAGAGAAAGAGCCGCCCGAAAGGTAGCCGAAAGTAGGTCAGGCATGCAACCTGCTGTCAACGCTGGATAATTGGAGAGGGTGCCCAGCACTCATCAGTGGGACGGACAGGTTGCAATTGCAGCGCAAAACGATAAATACCACAATGCTCACACACACACAGACAGAGAAACGGATCGATTATTGGCTTAAATTTTGATTTTGTTTGACACGCGGCTGACACAACTAATAAATTTCCATAGCACTTGATGGATCACCCCGTCGGGTGCAGCCTCAACTGGCAATTGGCTGGCGTTCAGTTTTGACTGCCGCTGCGAGTGCTGCACTCTGATTGATTGTCCGGCGCTCCGATAAGCCGAGGTGCGAGCGCAGAACAAACCCAAACATGAATTACGACGAGTGGCACGGCGATAGCTGCCAGATAAATAGATAAGCGCCTGATTAGCAGTCGCACTCTCGGAGTCGTCCAAATATTTACCCAGTTATTCACAACTGACGCGATTTCGTATCCGATCGGATCCACAAGCCCGAATGCTACCCCTCCTACCCCTTCTGCCCATCAATCACCTGGCCTGTTTGCAGGGACAACCGTCGACGTTGAGAGTTGTAAATTTTACAACATAATTTCTGATAATTTAAGCCCGTATCTCTGCTTGTACAGCAAACACTTCGACGCTGGCGAGCACTTTGCATGTGTTTTATGATATTCAACATAGATTTATTTATTTTTTATACATGTCCCCAACAGCAACAACAACAACGGCAACAAATAATACAGCGGCAAAGAGTTTTTATACTGCATTTTTGGCAGCAACTCGTAAAACACTTTGGTTTTATGGTTCTGGGTCGCATGGGCAACAGCTTAGAATATGAAGAATATCTTACCTATTTCTCTGGATGACAAATGTCTAACGAAAAAAATATATATAATCATATTTTTGTGATTCCTGTTGATTTGTGAGCTTACAACACAAGAAGCAATATATTTATAGCGACAAATAAATGAATAGTAAAAAAAAACTAGAAGAAATTGGGCGAGCTCTCAATTTCATAAAAGCGGCTAAGTATAATATTAAATCGGACTTTAAGTCGGACTAAATGTTAAAATAGAATTAGTAATGGAAACAAGTTAAAGTTTCTGTTAACTATAATTAGTATATTCAAAAAATAATTAATTTAAATTTAATTTATTCATTTTAAGTTCAGTTATAACAAGTTGTTGTATTTTTTAAACACAGCCAGTTCCTGTTACCTATAATATTAGTATTTTTAAAAAATAATTAATTGAATTAATCAATTTAGTGGCTTTTCAGTGCAGTTTTAACAATTTATTGTGTTTAATTTAATATTGCAATTTAATCGGCTTTCCATGTAATCTATGCAATCGCAAAGCCTCGATTAAATTTCCCATGAACAATTCTTCACAAATGCTCAACTCATATCAAAATGCGTTTAGTTTTAAATAATTGTACCAACGAAATGGCTGATGATGGCTACTAATTGACATTAGATATTTAATTATTTTCACATTAATTCATTGAAACTATTTATATCTAAATTGGGAGGGGGCAACTCACCGATTAGACGAAGCACCTCGTGTAGGTTCAGAAATATATTCAGATGCGTTTGGCCGCCGCCGAGCAGCGCCAGAAATAATCCGATTGTGAAGAGGCCTTTAAAGTTCTTCTCCATTGCAGCGATGAATAGCACCTTAAATTAGCACTTGGCGCTTTTATTGTTTAACTAATGACTGCTTGTTAATTGTTTGAATTCTTTGCTGTTTTGCTCTGTTGGCACTCGCTAACAATTTGCTATTGCAGCGCACACTTTTCAATATGAATACGAATTTTATAATATGGCGCGCATTTTGCGTTTAAATATTTCACAGTGCGTTTGGCACTTTGCCCCGCCTCAGACAGAGGCGCGCATATTCCAATTGGAATTAACACCTAAACGATGCACTCGGGAGCTGTATAGCCTTAAAGCCAACCTCTAGCAACAAGACAAATTTTCCCCCGTGGGTTCTTGTTTTTCCGCAACGGATTTTCGTTGATGCGCGCACCGTGACGATTTTCCACAAACTGTCAACTGGATAAACAAAACAATGCTAATGCTAAAGTATCTTTCAGACACTTTTAACATACTCTGTAATGTACACGCGCTGTAATGCAAATGCGAATCTATCTTAACATCCACTGTGGATGTTATGTTGCACTGTGAACAATGGAACAGAACAGTCGCTTGATCAGCTGTTTTCGAATTTTCGAATGAGAATGAGAAAACAACAGTCTGTTACACTGCTGTTATTTGAAATGAATGTTTGCTCAGTGAAATAAGTTAAATTTAATAATGTAATTCGATATTAAATAAATAAATGCTTTTGAATGTTTTTTAGTTCATCGACAATTTTTACTCTATGGCATGTTAACAATAGCAAATGCTAATGTTGGTTCCATGTTAAACTTTATTGTGGATGCTGTTGCGCCGCATATTGACCGTTTTAGGTACTATGCGCTGCAGTATAACAGTTGTCTATGTAAGGGGGTGTGTGTGGAAATTTGAGGGGTAAGCTCCGTTTAACATAATTTAAATAAATAAAAATATTTTACTTAAAAATAAAAAAAAAGATAGTATATGTAAGGTCCAAATGTCTGTGACTTTATTTAATTCAGCTTCAAGTTTTATAGAGCTGTGTTTTTAATTGTAATTTTCTGTCACATACATATGTATACGTACTATCTTTGCATAATACATTTTAAATAAATAATAAAAATAAATACATTTTGGACTTAACTACTTAACAGGGACATATGGGTATGTATGAATAAATATCATATAGAAAAAGGGGATTACATTAGCATAATTTGTGACATTCAATCATGATGTATTTTTAGACAATACTATTGTAGAAATATGATTTTAAATACTCTAATTTACTTTTACACATTTGACACACTATTTTGGCCAACATTCATTTAACATAAATAATTCAATTACTTGGCCACAGGCCGCAGTTGTAAAAGTTCTTAATAGACTATTCGCTGACTTTTATCTGCTCCATTGAACTTAGCGTGGCTTCAATTAACAAATTGTAGTCCAATTCATTGAGGCTCGCTTTTGCGGTGAGCAAATCCAGAAATGAGTCCAGCGGCGACAACGTTTCCGCGCTGAGATCTACAAAACAACGAAAATTGCCCATTAAATTGACGAATTGAACAATAACTGCAAGCAGGGACAGGCACTGGCAAAAAACACAGAGAGAAGCGCTGCTTACCAACCGGTAGATGATCGAGATGGAATTGTGGCTAACTAAATGATTACCAAAATGCGGGTCGCTGCTCAAGCACCAAGCGAGCAATGCTTAAAACGGCGGTGGTTAAAATGATAAGCAAAAAAACCAAAAGCAAGGAGTGACAAACGACTGTTGTGGGCTTGCCCAGTGCTGGACCGGGTGATGGATGACAAAGTGCAAATGAGTATGGGTTAAATGAGATGCAAGTGAAGCCGTAGCTGGCCCTTACCGCTTCTGGCATGCATGCGCGATTGCGAGACACCGCCAGATCCGCGTCGCTGAGCCGGCTCCTGATGATGACCCGACAGAATATTAGCCGCATGTTCTCGACCGCGTATCATAAGGCTCTCGGGATGCTGCCAGCATTTGAGCAGACGCTGGGCGCGCTGCTTTGGCAGTGCCGACAACAGCGACAGCTTGCGATCGATGCCCTGCGGAGTGTCCTCAATGTCTGCAATGGAAAGTGGCGACAGGTATTGGCAAAAGTCTAGAGATATTCTACTAGAAACGCACCGTAGACAATGCTCTTCATGACATCAACTTGCAGCTCAAAAACATGATTCTCCACGTATTGCAGGAACATGTCATAGTCTAGGGCGCGATAGCCCAGGTACGTGAAGAACGAGGAGAAGCCTTCAGGCAGCGGAAAGGCAATCGATTCCACGGCCAAGCAATAACGTTCCAGTATAAGAAACAGCGAATGCTGTTGGACGCTGGACATCTGATCACTAAACGAAAAGAAAATAAAGTTAATTAGGAAACAACATACTATATGTGATTGAAGCACCTACATCAACTTGAAGCCGCGCAACGTCTCCAGGCGAGCATCTAGGCCGGCAGCGCGACAGACCAGCGAGCACAGCGCACGCGAAAGCTCCAACTGGGCGGAAACAAACTGCGAAGCAACCGCATGCACATGGGCCGGAGCCTGCGAGCGCTCGAAAAAGGTTTCCTTCAGCCAGCGAAAGCCTGAATGTGGCTTCGAGGAATGCTTAACCAGATGAACGCTTAGCTCTCGCAGGTACTAAAAGATCAATGAAATTTATTTTGGATCAACTTTCAGATAGACTCCTGCAAAACTCACCACAGAAAGCACGTGCTCCTGCTTGCTGGCCGTACAGCCCTCGAGTTCAATAAAAGGCAGCACCTCGTTGCTAAAGGGGAACGAGCTGCCGCTGCTGTAATCGCCAAAGCCACTGCTGCTAGCGTCCGGTGTCATGGGTGTCGTGCAGCGAGAAAGTGCCTCTGGCTGGTAGCAAGCTAAGCTAAAGATCAGTTTCTCCGTCACTTGCTCGGCTGCAAAGCGTGGCTGCTCTTGCTTGGCGGACTCGTTGAGCAGCTCCCAGAGACGCGTCCAAATGTCTGTGCGATACGGAGACAGTCGCTGCTGTGGCGACAATAGCATCATGTTTGTGTTGTGCAGCGCCTCGTGCGAGATGCCAACGCTGATGTCTGCGACCCGCGCTTGAATGGGCCGCGTGGCCACCGCAGTGGTAAGCGGGAGCAGGCGCATCAGTGGCTTCGCCTCCTCGGGCAGGCCGCGCACGGCGGCTGCAAAGCTGCCGGCAATAAGCGCCTCCTTGACAAGTGCCACCGTGTCCAGCGAAAGGGGTCTCTCTAATATGCTGCTCAGCAGCTCGGCCAGAACATCCATATCCGAGGAATGGATCAGAAAGTAGTGTATAATGCTGATGCGGTTATCTAGCGAGTTGTCATTCCGGAATGTTTCGATTAGATGGGCCTTTGGTACACTCAGCGACACCAAATCCAAGGTGGCTGCGTCGAAGGCTAATGCCCCCCATTTCCGCAGCGGCACCAAATGCGTGACGTTGGGAGCACGATTGTTCGCAGCCGGACAGACAATGTGGCATGTGGGCTCGTGCTGCAGACCCACGTCCAGCAGATGCACAAAGAAGGCGGACGATACCAGCAGATGATGTGCACCCTGCAGCGCAAAGGTGGGACGTAACAGACGTGCCTTATGCCAGGGCACGCCCGGCATGACGCAGTGCAGCACACAGCCGTGATGCAACAGCGAAACAGAGTAGGCAAAGTGAACATCCTGCTGCTGCGGCTGCTTCGTAGCTCCCTGTGCATACTGCGGTTGCATGGGCTGGTACAGATAATAGTGACACACGAAGAACATGCCCGAGCTGTCCGCCAGGATGATCAGATTCAGCGAACTGTCGTGCACGCGCAGCGGTACGGCATCGTCATCATAGCTGGGTGCGTTCCCTGCTGCATTTGCGGGCAGCTTTGGCAAATTGAGCGGAATGTTGAGCTGCAGGAGATTAAAAATCAAGAAAAGCTTAATAAGAGCCATTTCTTTTTTATCTGGAGCATGCTTACAACTGTCTCCGTGGGTTGCTTTTCGTTAAACTGAAACGCGGACAGTGTAGGGCTGAGCACCGGCGCAGCCTGTTCACCAATCTGCTCCCGTTCGTCTAGCAAACTGAGGCTGACTGCCTTTGGCTTTAGGTGGATGTAATAAAGTGCTTGGCTCTCGGCATCCCACTGAGCCCAGCTGAAGTTCTTGGCTAGCGTCTCATGCGTTAGTATGCTGACGTCTAAGTGCCAGGCGCTGCCCTCTGCACTGCCCGAATGTGATGTCGTGGAACTCTGTTTGACCGTGCAGCTGAACTGTTTGATGGCTGAAAGGACCTTCGTTAGGCTGTGCTACTTTGTTCAATGGACGCCAACTTACAATCCTCGTGTGTAAGTACCAGCAACTTGTCCTGCCAGCAGGTGCGCGTCGCGCTCTCCACACGCCACAGAAACTGCGTCATTATCTGGCGAGGCGAGGATTCTGCGGTCAGGCATGTCGGCGTGCCGCCCTCGCTGCTGCGCACCTCAACGACAAACGCCTGATAACGCTGCGAATTCTTGACCACATACGACAACAAGGTTATGCTGCTATTAATGCTCGCCTGGATTACTTCTACGCAGCCTGGCAGGGTCCAGAGCACACGCAGCTGTTTTTTCGTGGCATGAAAGTGACCAATGCAAGTTTCCCGCTTGCTCGACTCATCCAAATACTCAAATATCCATGAAGTAAGCAGCGAGCCGTCCTGCTCCTGACCCAAAATGCGCCACTCGTTGGCCTTTTCTGCAATTGGAGGAGGGTTATTTCTGGTTAGCGCGACGCTGTATGTGCCGGGTGGAAGACACTTGCCCTTGTAGCCCTGAGCGGCCAGGAGTCCGCAAAAGTTGGCGGCCAAGTTCTCTTGACGTAACATGCTAATTTTAATTTAATTTCTTTTTAAACAATTTTCCTGTTGCAGCATTGCACAAAAACTTCATCAGAGCCTCTCGAGAAATCAATAAATACTGCAAGTAAGTTGGCAACGCTGCAATCAGCTGTGAGGGTGCCCATATGTTTTGCAACTTGGTACGCAGCGCGTTAGATAAGCACAATAAAAAATCACTTTATTTAATGCACATCAACATAAATTTTATTTGTTGTCGTAAAAGTGTTATAATTCTATTTGCAATAAATAACATAAAATATAAAGTTTGATTACATATTAATACGATGACAGCAGCATTGTATATTTTCGCAACATAATATTATGTGGCAACGCTGAAATATATTTTTAAACATGGCGCTAAGCACTGTTATTTTCAATTTTAAGCTCAAAGTGGAAAAAGCGCGGTACATTAAAAATGCCAAGTGAAATAATTACCCTGCAACTAGGCCAATGCGGCAATCAGAGTAAGTTAAATCACAAATTTACATTTGTAAACAATACTTTTCAATGAAAAACAAACAGTTGGCTTTGAGTTTTGGAAGCGCCTGTGCCTGGAGCATGGCATTTCGCCGGATGGGGTGCTTGAAGACTTTGCGGCCGACGGACACGATCGCAAGGATGTGTTCTTCTACCAGGCGGACGACAACCATTATATACCACGTGCCGTACTTCTAGATCTAGAACCTCGCGTCATTCACAACATCATGAGCTCGCCCTATGCCAAGGTATGTACATATTCATGGACAACAATATACATATGTATATTTGAGAATGTATAACCGATCAATGCAATTTTCAGCTATACAATCCGGAGAACGTCTACTTGTCCAAGCATGGTGGCGGTGCTGGCAACAACTGGGCTTCTGGCTTCAGCCAAGGGGAAAAGGTGCAGGAGGAGGTGTTCGACATAATTGATCGGGAGGCCGATGGTAGCGACTCGCTCGAGGGCTTTGTGCTGTGCCACTCCATAGCCGGCGGCACAGGCTCAGGCATGGGGTCCTACGTGCTCGAACGCCTGTCCGACCGATTTCCGAAGAAGCTCATTCAGACGTACAGCGTTTTCCCCAATCAGGACGAGATCAGCGATGTTGTTGTGCAGCCGTACAATTCGATACTCACCCTAAAGCGGCTGACAAAGTGCGCAGACTGTGTCGTGGTGCTAGACAACACGGCCTTGAACCGTATAGCCACCGAGCGGCTTCACATACAAACGCCCACATTCACCCAGATCAACAACCTGGTGTCTACTATCATGAGCGTTAGCACAACCACCTTGCGCTATCCCTCCTACATGAACAACAATCTGATTGGTCTGACGGCGCCGTTAATTCCTACGCCGCAGCTTCACTTCCTCATGACGGGCTACACGCCGCTGATCACAGACCTCGAGGTGAACAATGTACTGGATTCAGCTAAGATTCTCATACGTTTAACATTTATAAATTTGGTCATCCGCAGACCAAGACAAATGTGCGCAGGACAACTGTTTTGGATGTGATGCGCCGCTTGCTGCAGCCGAAGAACATGATGGTGTCATCCACCGCCGACAAGCGACACTGTTACATCTCCATATTAAACATTATACAGGGCGAGGTGGATCCCACGCAGGTGCACAAGTCACTGCAGCGAATACGAGAGCGCAAGCTGGCGCAGTTTATACCCTGGGGCCCGGCTAGCATTCAGGTAGCGCTATCACGTAGCTCGCCCTACGTCCAGACAGCGCACAAAGTGTCCGGCCTGATGATGGCCAATCACACGGGCGTAAGTGCTCTCTTCAATCGTGCTCTGGCCCAGTATGACAAGCTGAAGAAGCGCAACGCCTTTCTGGATCAGTTTCGGCGGGAGCCCATGTTTCAAGATGATCTGACCGAGCTGGATTTGGCGCGCGACACGGTTGACTGCCTGGTGCAGGAGTACGAGGCAGCTACACAGATGGACTACCGACACTGGAGTCCGCTATCAAATGGTGTCAAGGCGTAAGCCCTTTTAAAAAACATCTTCTAGCGAGCTTATAAAATGAATCTCATAATCTGTGAAGTCTAGCTTAGTAGACTGTGATTATCCACTATCCTGAACCAAATAAAAATAGAAACTAATTAAAAATGTGCGCTGGTTGGCTAGATCTGCAACCCTCAGCAGACCAGTCATGTAATTCCTCTATAAATCGTTGAAGGCTTTCTGTAGGTCTATTTAGCATTACTTTGGTACTGGAATCCAACGATCTTTCAGAATTTGCATATTGTATGAAATAAAAGAAGTTTATAACAAATAAAGAATAAACCATCAGTTTGTATTACCTCTACTTCATTTACGTATTAACCTACATTATTCAAGTATTAACCTACAATGACAGATTATTTAGCTAGCAAAGATATTTTTTATTTGAGCTTTCACCGATTATTCGTAAGATTGTGGATATAGGAATTCCAATCTACCTATTTGTAGATATTTCTTAAAATCACGGCTACGAAAAAAAATTGGCTTTAGGTCAATGCATCATCTTTAGGTTCAGTGCGTGAAGCTGATTTTCTACATCCATGAACTCGGACTTGGACTTGAACCTGGTTTGTCTCATGTTTTTTTATTATTAAATTTAAGATTAAAGGTTCCCCTATAATTAAAAAAAAAAAATCTTAAATTCAATATATTTTCCGTATAAAACTGGTTTAAAATTTGAAAATTACCGTAAATTGGAAACATCTATATTACACTAGCCGACCCCAATTTTTAGAAAAAACTTGATGTAACCCCTTGCCAATTGAGATATTTCAAAAAATCATCAAAACAGGTTGAATTTACAAACGAATCGGTTTTTGGTCAACCACTTTTTTTAACCCATCGATTTTTAAAATGTTTGAATGCCAATTGATCGTGTGCCTGTCTGTCTGTGTGCCCGTCTGCCGGTGTCTCTGTCTACATATCTGTCTGTCTGTAAGTCTGAATGTATGTCTGTATGCCTGTCTGTCTGTCTCTTTTTTCAGTCTGCCTATGTGTATGCCTATCTGTCTGTATTTCTGCCTGTCTGTCTCTGCCGGTGTGCCTGTCTGCGAGGCTGTAGGTATTTCTGTCTGTCTCTCTGTCTGTCTGTCGGACTGCCTATCTGTATGCCTATCTGTCTGTATTTCTGGCTGTCTGTCTCTGCCGGTGTGTCTGTCTGCGTGGCTGTAGGTATTTCTGTCTGTCTCTCTGTCTGTCTGTCGGACTGCCTATCATCCTGTCAGCCTTTCTGTCTGTTTGTCTACGAATATGTAGTTTTAATTATCTGTCTGCGAGTCAATAGGTCTCTCTCTCTCTCTCTCTCTCTCTCTCTCTCTCTCTCTCTCTCTCTCTCTCTCTCTCTCTCTCTCTCTCTCTCTCTCTCTCTCTCTCCCTCTCTCTCTCTCTCTCTCTCTCTCTCTCTCTCTCTCTCTCTATGTCTATCTGTCTGAATGTCTGTCTGCATGCCTGCCTGTCTGTCTATTTTCCAGTCTGACAATCTGTGTGCCTATCTGTCCGTATGTCTGCCTCTGCCGGTGTGTCTGTCTGCGAGGCTGTAGGTATTCCTGCCTGTCTGTGTATCTCTCTCTCTCTCTCTCTCTTCCTGTGTGTGTATGTCTGCGAGTTTGTGGGTCTGCGTGTCTGTCTGCCTGTCTGTCGGCCTATCTGTTTCTGTCTCTGCCGTACGTCTGACTGTCTGCGAGTCAATTTGCCTGCCTTCCTGTCTATTTGTCTGCCTTTCTGTCTGTCTTTCTATGT